TGCAGCGCAGTAAGTGGTTACATTAGTCGTGGTTGGCTTTTGATGAGTGCCGAAATCGCTCACTTTTATAACCACGCCTGAACACCAAAACCAATGTTGCAGATGAGAGCGACTGCACAGAGATGCCGGCAAGATGGTGGGGCCCTCACAGTGGCCGTCGAGCGGTGAGCTGCGCAGATGAGAGAGGCCGCACAGCGTCTGCCGTCAAGGCGGTGGGGCCCTTACGGCGTCTGTCAAATGGTGAGCGACGTCGCGCTGCTGGGCGGCTGGTGAACACAGGTGATCGGACGGGTCGAGTTGAAATCGCATACCAACCACGCACACGCTGACACGACGATAGGAGACATTTTAGGTGAAAAATCCGTTGTATTCCGTCTGTCAGGACAAACCAGGTGAGCTTTGTTTGCTTGTTTGAGGGCGTCAGGTGGTAGGTTCGGTATGGTTCATTTCTACCAGTGAGTGTCGTGTAGCGAAGTCGGAAGAGATGGCTTGCATCAGCGGCGGCCTGGGTCTGTATTAGATCTTCTTTAGGTCACCGCCAATTGAGGTGAGTGCATGTCTCTCGTGTGTTTCTGTTTGAAGAGTTCTATGTTGATATTTTTGCATCATTCGTTTTTGGCTGTTCCCTTTTTTTTGTTGCTTAAATCTGTTGGTCACCATTGCTTGCTGCTGGTACGTCCACCATATTTATTTCAGATATATTTTAAAGCATGAACTGGCCGTTAAGTATCGGCGTTCTCCTGCTTTCAATTAGTAGCAGCCATGGCACATTTGACCAGACAGAGGTCGGGCTCTAGTTGTATACGTCCGATGATTTGTTTGGCGTCGGTTTGATGTTTTACGTTGATGTTTTACTATGTGAGTGCATGGCCGTCTGGGTTAGGGGTGGCTCGCTCTCTACCTGGGCGGCCAACAGTCTCTCCCCGCCCACCATGTCGTGAGCTGGTCCTGTCTGCCAGAGGCATCACACCTCGACCGTGTGCGACCGGTGAGTCAGCCGACCGACCAAGGTGGCCCGCCCCAGAGGGGCCCGAGCTGCCCAGGGCGTCAGCTCTCCTGGCACAGTGCTGCACTGCATACGTCCAGATAGGGACCGAAGCAGCAATCATCATTTCACGTGGGATCAAATGGATTATTGAGCTGGCAGTTGTCGCTCGATGTGCACAAAATGGAGCGTTTCGTTCAAGCGACTTCAGTCTCATTGTGCTCTCAGTGGGGGCTATACGTCATATGCCGCGGCATGATGCAGCATGCATGTGCTGTAAAAATACCGTAGAATAAAAGTCATATGCCGGTAAAACCAGAACCCCACACACAGCTGCATTCTGGACCCGGTGTGGCTGTGCGGGTCCGGAATCCAGTCGAAGCCTGGTGATTGGGTGATGTCCAGGACAAGCAACAGTAAAGCACAACGGTCTCTGTTCGTCGATGCCATTCGGAGGCATGACACCGAGCGGCCGCGAAAGATCTCGCTCATAACCTCCAGCTGATTCCATCAGACCTGTCAGAGCAGAGTGGCTGCAGAACGATTACAGATTGAACACATCAGTCGATGGCCGAATACGGGCTGGTGTAAAGTGCAGGACATTCGCCCACTATTGCCAAACAAACGGTCGTTTATTCAGCAGTTGCAGTCGACAGTCAATGACACGGTCGTTCTTAGAGTGTTTTCGCTGTTCCACTCTGCAGGCTGGAGCCGTCCCGACAGTGCAGCGCGGTTTCGGTGTTGCCGTGGGGTGGGATAGAGAGATGGAAGTCGCCTGCCACTTTCCGGCTGCTTAATGTCCGCTCTAACGTGACAGTCCACACAAGACGTGCTGCCATGGCGAGATCACAGCGCCGTCATGGCGAGATGATAAAGCCGCCATGGCGAGACGACAGCGCCGCCATGGCGAGACGACACTGCATGTTTGATGCAGAGATATGCAACGGCATGACAGCTGCCGTTTTCAAGCCGGTAATTAGGGCCCGTTATCTCAAAGCAGGCGGCTCTCAGCCCGGGTACGGGCTCCGCTGACATACATTCCCAGAGGCCGACGGTGCCGTTTAGAGCTGTTTCTTCGCGAAGGCTGACAAACATCGTGTTGAGGAGCGTTGTTCGAAAAACGCCCCATGCATCTTTAGTTGAAGTTTTGTGTTGAGTTAAGGACTTTTTCCAGGAGGTACTAGTTAAACGACATCGTTGTCTGGATGACAACACATTGACGGTACTCAGTATTTCGAGCAGTGCTCACCAGCTCAAGAGTGACAAGAGCTAAAAAAGTTGAGCAACTTATTCCACGTTCCTAGGGCCTACGCACCCATTTAATATTCCAAACGTGCAGCAATTTTAAGATCTTGAGGTTCGCATTGTCGTAGTTGTTGCTAAAATTTCTTATGCACGTTCCTAGGATTCATGGAATGTTAGTTGTGGCTGATGCGCGGTGATTAATTTTTTATGAAATGTTCTGTGCTGGGCCTCATAAACTTCCGTCTTGGCCGACTGCTTTGTTTTTTACAGTAGTTAAGGTTGAAATGTGTTCGTGATAATGGGAGCTTAGATGACTTATATTTTTTGGACATCTATGAGTGCCAGTGTGTACGCAGATTGGGGGCATTTCCTGAATTCACATGCCTTATTTTTCTTATGTTATATTTCGCTAAACCGCTATGAGCCCTTCTCACGCTTCGGAGTGGGAACTGCTCGAGATATTTATGTGCTCGAAACGTTATTAATTACTGTCAATGTAATCGTCATCGAGCATTACAGCGTCGTTTAACTAATACCTTATAGTGTATCTAAGGTCGTTAAATCATCACAAGAGCTTTCAACCAAAAATGCCGGAAAACGGGGGGGGGGGCGGAAGGCATGCCTTTGTTATTTTAAGTCTTAGGCATTTTGATTGAAAGAATGTGTGCAACAATTCGCTACAACAAAAACATGGAAATGGGTGGGCGTCAATAAATGCTTCCGATGTTTGCTCGCATTTTAATGCACAGTTGTCTTTGCCATGCTCACGCTAATGATATGGCATACTCGACCCCTGCCTCGATGTTTAATCCACCTGAATGTTAGGAGAATTGCCAAATCACATATCCATTCTGATTGTTACTTATTATTGAAAAAAATTGAATGTTCAATTCCCCTACAAGGCAATACGCCAAGGCTGTGCGTTACATTACGTTATGCATTTAGGTTAAAATGTTTTGTGCTACGACACCCATGCTTAGATGAAATGATTGGAGCACGGCTTGCACTTTGCCTTTCCGTATGTGGGGTTTCATTTTGAGCACAACGATGCGTAATCAGGTCATTTTGAATACGGAATAAAATACCCTGGCGCTCGGCTCCACTCCAGGCCCAGAAACTAGCACGGTTTGACCCCGCAAACTAAGCCTTGGAATAAGTGCTGACCTGCTGGGACACTTGTGAATGTGCGTACGGGGTACATTGGACATTGACTCTTTGCCATTATTTGATGACATGAGTGGGGGGCGTCAGCGTTGTTTTATGCTGTTCTGCTAAGGGACTGTACAGGTGTTACTTAAACTAGTTGCGGTCTGCTGATAAATTTGGGCATGATAAAATAGCCAGTATTATAAACAATACTGACATTTGACATGAAGGCTGGTCTTACTTAATTGAATAACGGTGCTGTGTACTAGAAATAGGCCCCCTTGTCACTTGTCTTCGGCGAGACTTCATCTGCATTTTATCTTGTCTGCCTGCCTAAAGCACATGCCAGACATGTGAAATGTCTACGGACTTAATGATTAGACGCATGGTTGGTGAAATCCTCTTATCTTTTCTTCCTGCATCATTCTTCTCCTGCACCCATTTACCCATATCCACATCGCAACGTATATCCCACTGTCGCTATTCTCCCCTTTCTGGTAATGACATTTCATTAGCTTTGTGGTCGAGCCTTGAGTGCCTGCGGCCAGTTCCGGGGAGCGGTGCCTCAGTCACGTCACCGTGTGTCGCAGTGGACTCTTCCAGCGGACCAGTTTCGTGTAGTGAAATTGTCATAATTACTGGCGTAGCAATATTTGAGATGAGTCGCAGATATAATCACATTTTTCATCTGCTGATGGTCGCATTCGGAAGTACTGTGCTTGCCGCCAGCATTTGCATAATGATGGTATAATTGCATACTTTTTAGCTTTGCTTTTGGTGCCCACCACTAAACCAAATGCGACTTCCATCCTCCGGCTAAATAAGTGCAAGAGCTTGACATTTTGCACGGATCCGAACTCGGAATGCATTCGATCTTGCGGGTATCCCGACTTTCGGGGTCGCAATTCTCTTCGAAAGGATCACATGCAATTTGCTGACAGCAGGACTAGAGATAAAAAAGCAGCGCTGGTGGTTGCGGTTTGGTTTTCGGCAAGATGTTTGTGAAAGCTGTTTGTGTCAGGGGCCGGGATCTGTCATAGAGTTCCCGGTATATCGGGCCTGCTCTGGCCCAGAGGAGGACGTCGCGACCTTTGCGCAGCGTCACGTCCTCCCGCTCCCGCCGCCGGATTCCTAGAAATGGCTCGGTCCGATTATTCATGCACACGGAGGAGAAAATACGGGTGTAATTGATTGACGTTCCATTCGTCAATCGCCAGAGCCAACCGAGCTCGTTAATCTCGGCCTCCTGTCAGCCCGCACTGGCTCCAACGCTCACGCGCTGGTGAGGGTCCCCACCGAGCAAGACCAGCTGTCTCGGTATCGACAGCGTGGTCCCAGTGCCACTGTAACACGCGCATTTACTAATGTAGACACCTCACAGCATGGCATGAGGCTGTATCCTTCTGAACGCGGAGTTACGGTCAACAGGGATGGAAATATCTGCTCTGTCCTTCCATGTTGTTTACGACAGTATTGCATGCTTCGTCCCTGTCATCTTCCTGCCTTCCAGTCCCTCATCCTGACCTCCATCCCGAGTCATCCTGACCTTGGGGAGTGCCGACGACCAGCGTAATGCTGCCTCAGGCGGGGGCGCCTCAAGTTGCCTGCTCAGTTTCTAATCACGTCGCGGGCGGTAATAAGGAAAAATGATCCGTAACGCGGTGTTAAATAACCTGTAACCCCGGCGATAATTGATATGGAGATTTTGGCGCCGCCTGCCGGAGCCATACGTCCCGCAACTGGGTCAGAGCGAGCCGGTCGAGCCGGTGGCTGTGGCGGGGCAGAGCAGCGCAGACGGCTCATGAGCGGGCTCACCTCGCTCTGGAGGCGCACCGGCCGTCGCCGGCGGGCATCTCACGTCACGCTGCGGAAGCGAGCCAGCACCGACGCTGCGGAAGCGAGCTAGCCCCCGGCGCGCTCTCAACGCCGGGAGTAGCTCGCGGGGCACCGCGTCCCCAAGGGCGCCGCTTCGCAACGCTGTTGATAAGGGACCTGTGGTCCTTTTGTTTATAGCAATAAAAATGCATGAGAGCCACCATCAGCATTATGCATTGCATGAATTGACATGAGGACCATGGCGTGAGTACATGTTTGGACGCCAAGAAGTGTTGCATAAATGCGGTAGAGGTTGGGGTTACAAAAGGCATTACCAAGCAGTTCTTGTTACCACCCGTTGTCGGACAAGCGCTCCAGTCCAGACTGGTGTTGCTCACTCCACCTCGTCAGCCGAAATATGTCCCATTTTACCCCGCGTTTTCCACCTCAGCAGGAGCTCAGCTGACTAGGTTCTCAACGTTCAGCCGTTGGCATCGCAGCTCGTTGCTGTTGGCCTACGTGGCGGTCGGTCCATTGGTCGTTCCTGTTGGCCCACGTGGCGGCCGGTCCGTTGGCCGTTTCTGTTGGCCCACGTGGCGGCCGGTCCATTGGTCGTTCCTGTTGGCCCACGTGGCGGCCGGTCCATTGGTCGTTCCTGTTGGCCCACGCGGCGGCCGGTCCACTGGACGATCGGCCACGGATCGGTGCCCTCATCGCCCACCGGCGCTGTTGGCACAGCTAATAACGCGCGTCATCAGAGCAACAATGGGCCCATAACTCTTGCAAACGGTCGGTTTTTCGGTCGTACGATCGCCGACTGACGGGGCGCATGTCGTGGGGGGGGGGGGGGGGAGGGGAGACTTGGCACGGCGATGTGCTGGCCCGGGCGCTGGCTTGTGTCGTGTACCTCCCCGCTCCACTCTGCCCTTCCTCCTTTTCCTTTTTTCGTGCATGTGAGCGACATAAGTTGCAAACTGCGGAACTAGCTGACATGGTATGGTGCCGTGTAAGGTCTTCGTGCCGTAAAATGACGAAATATATAAAACCATTGTTCGGTACGCGTCACTGCGATGGCATGTCTTCCCAGCCTCAGTGTAACCACGGGCTGTATTTCTCGGGTCTCCCGTTTTCAGGCCCCCGCCTCCCCCCCCCCCCCCTACGGTGAGACCCCCGCCGGCTGACGTCATCCACCGCCGAACCAGTCGCCTGTCCGGCCGCTGCGTACTCAGAACGGTGGGCGCCGGGACCGCTAACGGTGCCTGACAGGGAAGGGTGACCAGCCGGTGCGCCGACCGTTGCCAGCCGAGAGGCCCGTCACCAGCCCGCCCGGCGAGCTGGCAGCCCAGCATCCGCGGCCAGAGCGGCGACTCTCGGGGATGGATGCATGATACTGTGTGCTGGGTGAGAACTGGGTGACGTGGGCTCCGGGCAAGTCAGCAGCTCCGGCCGGTCAGGCGCTGGGTGTCAGCTAGGTGCCGTGGCTCTGGGCAAGTCAGCAGCAACCGCCGGTCAGGTGCTGTGTGAGCGCCGGATGCCGTGGCTCTGGGCAGTCAGCAGCTCCGGCCCGGTCAGGCCTGGGTGACAGCTGGGTGCCGTGTCTTCTTGGGCAAGTCAGCAGCACCGGCCGGTCAGGCGCTGGGTGACAGCTGGGTGCCGTGGCTCCGGGCAAGTCAGCAGCTCCGGCCGGTCAGGTGCTGGGTGAGAACTGGGTGACGTGGCTCCGGGCAAGTCAGCAGCTCCGGCCGGTCAGGCGCTGGGTGACAGCTGGATGACGTGGCTCCGGGCAAGTCAGCAGCTCCGGCCGGTCAGGCGCTGGGTGACAGCTGGGTGCCGTGGCTCTGGGCAAGTCAGCAGCTCCGGCCGGTCAGGTGCTGGGTGACAGCTGGGTGTCGTGGCTCCGGGCAAGTCAGCAGCACCGGCCGGTCAGGTGCTGGGTGCTCTCATCCGGCGCCTCGGAGCAGCTTTGCTCTGCGTTCCGTGAAAGGATTCTCTCGCTGTTCTGGGATACGTTCGGTCCGTGGTCTGCAGTCGTGCCTCGGCGCACATTCCCGCAATTTACGTTTGCATCGCGGTGATATTCCAGCGATGTCCGTCGACGATCACGCAGGGTCCCGGGGAGCCGCTCACCGTGCCCCGGTGGGCTTCTCACTGTGTCCCTGTGATCCTCTCGCAATGTCCAGCTGAGTCTCTCACCATGCCCCAGTGAGCCTCTCACCGTAACCAGGTGAGCCTCTCACCGTGTCCAGGTGAGCCTCTCACCGTGTGCCGGTGGGAGCCTCTCACCGTGTGCCGGTGAGCCTCTCACCGTGAGCAGGTGGGAGCCTCTTACCGTGACCAGGTGAGCCTCTCACCGTATCCAGGTGAGCCACTCACCGTGTGCCGGTGAGCCTCTCACCGTGAGCAGGTGGGAGCCTCTCACCGTGACCAGGTGAGCCTCTCACCGTATCCTGGTGAGCCTCTCACCGTGTGTCGGTGGGAGCCTCTCACCGTGACCAGGTGAGCCTCTCACCGTATCCCGGTGAGCCTCTCACCGTGTGCCGGTGAGTCTCTCACCGTGATCAGGTGGGAGCCTCTCACCGTGACCAGGTGAGCCTCTCACCGTTTCCAGGTGAGCCTCTCAACGCGTGCCGGTGGGAGTCCGTCCCATGGGCGCGCCGGCCGCGCTGATTCATTGCCGAGGTTAGGCCGTGTAAGCGCTGGCCGCGTGACTGATGGTGGCCGGGGCTGCAGAGGAGAACAGCCGCCGGCAGGACGAGCTGCAGTCAGCTGGTTGGCGGCATTGCTCGCCGGCCGCCGCCATTGACCAGGGCCATACACATTGCACAAGTGTCTAGTGTCTGGTACCCGCTTGATCCGGCCGCCGCGATGCTGCGCGGACTACCCAGCTCTGGCGGCATGATAGCACGGCAAGCGTAGTCTTAAATATGTCATGATTAAAAATGTGTCCTGTGTCGGTTATTTGTGCGCAGTATCGCATGAGTTGCGAAGCGGATTCTTGCGCTATCAAGCAGCGTAGAAGGCTGCACATTTCTTTGTAGGAGGCGGAGCATAAGCTCATGCGATAGTCACATGAAGAGCTATTCGCATAGATTTGTAATATATATCATCACTGATATGATATATGATTCCGTGATAGCCTAATTTCATGCAGGAAATGCTCGCTTTCTAAGCGCACCCAACATAAACACGATCATGTTACCACGCGAAGGCGACGGCGCCGCGCCGCCAATCTGTCATCCGTTATACCAAAAGCACTCGTTTAGGCGCGCAGTGAAATCCGATTCGCCACAGGTCCATCTCAATGGCGCCGGCCAGTCGCAGACAATCTTCAAGAGGTCACCGCAGAGGTCACCGGAAGGTCATGCCCTGAAGTCGGCTTGACGACAGCAGAAGCCTGCGTGGTGCGAGACCCGGCACCTTGTAACAAAAGCCACTGCTGGCGTGCCCGTTTGGAGACGATGTTGTGCCTTAGAAGCCCTCGTGACGTCATCCTCGTCTATTGTGCGTTCTCATTAGCTGACGGTTTGTATAACAGCAAACTACATCAATTAAGTACAGATCCGTTTTGCTGAGGGCAGACAGTCTATGGGCTGGGGCACATTCAGATATTTGGAAAATGATGGCATATGTGTTAGATCGTAGTTTACCGGATGTCCGGCTCGGGTTATGTCAGTTAGGGCGATACCATGTCAGCCAACATTACCAAAGGAAAAACAATACGGACATCCGACTAAACCCGCTGCCATGGATAAGCCCCCAGTGGCAAATACACATCCACAGCCGCAGTCCATCTCATTCTCGCTGCGACAATGACAAACGGCGAGGTTCACTTGCAGTTCAAGGAAACGTAAAAGCGTTGCTATTACTGGCATGAAAAAGGTCATACGAAAGAATTCAGGGTGGTTTATAATACCTTTAATCACCCACGTGGGACGCTAGACTTCTCTCGGAACGTTCTTCATCTCCCGCGCACTGTGCCTTCATTATTATTCACTTGTAAGTGCAAACACGTTCGGCTGCGTCGTCTTTGAAAAATTCCAATTAGGTCTGCGCATCGACCGGAATTCGCATCGAGAAAGCTTGAAACTATGCATGACTTATTCACGCCTGGTGACGTAGAAGCACTATTTACCTCCGTTTTACTGAGCCTGCTAAAACTTAAATCATTTGTGAAAGAAACATTTGGATGAAACTGCATTTCAGTGGCTCGTTACTTCACGCATCAATAACATTGCGCTGGTTCGTGCCTCGCATATTTTGTATCGTCTTCGCTTGCACGCGACGCACAATCTAATTGGCCTTGCAAATCTGACCGGTCTCTCTCTCTCTCTCTCTCCTCTCTCTCTCTCTCTCCTCTCTCTCTCTCTCTCTCTTCTCTCTCTCTCCTCTCTCTCTCTCTCTCTCTATCTTCTCTCTCTCTCTCTCTCTCTCTCTCTCTCTCTCTCTTCTCTCTCTCTCTCTCTCTCTCTCTCCCTTCTCTCTCTCTCTCTCTCTATCTCTCTCTCTCTCTCCTCTCTCTTCCTCTCTCTCTATCTCTCTCTCCTCTCTCTCTCTCTCTCTCTCTCTCTCTCCTCTCTCTCATCTCTCTGCGCCTTGTCTGTTTCCACTCGTCCCTCTATTTCCATCATATCACTGTCTCTACCTTCACCTATGTCCCACCTCTTAGCTTCGCTCTCCCCAACTTTCAAACTTGCCAGATAACATCCACACCACTTCGCCAGATTTTGAGAAGCATATGCGTCTGCAACGGTGGAACCACCGGTTGTCAACGCGTTGGCACATACAGTTATTGGCCAACCGTCGCCCCACTTCACTCCACTCAACAAAAGCATAACCAAAAAGTCATTCCGAGGAGCGAAGAGCGCCGGAGACATCAACGTCACACAACCTGGCGACACAAGTACCGGCTAATCCAACAGCGGTGACTGCCAGAGCGGGTTTGGGTGTGTAGCACCACCCAGGGACCCGGAAGCGGAGGGGACGGGCGGAGAGGCTGCGGCGACCGTCAGATCTGCGCTCGGCCAGCAGGGGCCTCCTCATTGTTCCAGTTGCGCGCGGCCCGCCTGGAGCCGGTCAGGGTTCGCGCTGAGCCCGGCCCACTGGGAAGGGTGGCGTATGAATATCAATGGGGACAATGCCGGGGCGGTCGGTTTCGAACGGAGGCGGCGGCGCGCGCGCCCACTGGCCGCCTCCAAATGACTCATCGAATGTTTAAACAGGCAGTCGATACGGCATATTTTAGGGCTCAAGGTCCGCGGCTGCCGCCAATCCCAGGCGGCGTCGCCGGATTCCGGCGTGGATCGGGCGCCGTCGCTGAGAGTGCTCCAGGTCCGCCGGGGCCGGATCAGACCGATACTGTCAGCCGGCCCTCCCGCGCCTCCAGCGTGACGCAAAGGGATCCGGCCCGCTGAGGGCTCGCTAACGAGTCCCTTTGATTTTTCTGTAACGAAGTCACTTTAGAAGATTACCTGCCCTCGAAAGTGAACAGGTTTGCCAAAGGCCCACAAAGTCATCGCATTGTAGGAGGAGTTTCCAACATCGATTATATTAAATCTAGATCTAGAGAGATAGATCCTATCTTTTATCACCTTGGGGAACGTATTTGCCTCCCCCTCCAACCCTTCCCTCTGCCTTCGGTGTGCCGGTTGGAACGTTCTCTTTCGTCTAGGAAGTGTTCCGTGTGTCTTCCATATTCTAACTAAGAGTTCTGGGAGCCGATCGCCCCCTGCAGTCTAATGCGAGCCTCGCTTGCCCCACGTGCGCTGATGGCATGCGCCAGGTTCCGCCAATAGAGGCCAGCACACCAGGCCACCTTCTGCGCTCCTATAACGGGCTGGTGACGTCACTGTACGCTGGACCCCGGCGTCCTGGGCGTCTGAGGATCCGGCAGCCATAAAAGGGCGGCCGCATCAACACCGATCAACGCCCCCCTACGCATGAAGCAGTCGAGGCACATCGAGGGAGTGCATGGGACGTGGGCGGACAGTAATGCTAATGCAATGGCCATGTGACCGTCACGCTTGGCGCTGCTGCTGCCACCGCTGCTGCTGCTACTGCTGCTGCTGCTGCTTGTTGCAGGGAATCTGGCGGATTGTGATAGTAAATGCAGGCCATGCAATTTTTGAGAGCTTAAACTTGACAGTTTTGAGCTCATGAGACCAAATTGGTGTGACACATTTTCTTTGCCTCTCACTCTCCCTCTCTCTCTCTCCCTCTCCCTCTCTCTCCCTTTCTCTCCCTCTATCTCTCCCTTTCTTTTTTCTCTCTCTTTCTCTCTCCCCTCTGTCCCTCTCCCCTCTCTCCCTCGCTCTCTCCCCTCTCTATCCCTTTCTCTCTCCCTCTCTCTCTCTCCTCTTCTCTCTCCCTCTGAGCAGCTGTATTCGCGTCTCCATTATACATTCCATCGCCACCATTGGGTTTTGAACCATCTCGAAGGCGTATTGTTAATACATGTCAACACTTTCCACGGACACTTGATTTTTCTATGGCAAAACACCATCGCCCATCACCGCCTGGCAACAGGGCCGCCATTTCCACAATCGCCGCTCGATTATGCATGCCCCAGCTGGAAAGAACGTCAAAGAAGAAAGAACAGCTTTCCAGCGGGCCGGTCAGGCGTGTCGACAGCTGCGGATCGCGCACATCAATCCGGCGAGCCGACACCGGTTGGGCAATAATCGGCCGGCACTGGGCGATGGATCGGCCGCAGCGGTCCGGTGCCCATTAACACACGGCGGGGTTCTGGTCCGGCCGCGCCGGTGGCCGACGGTGTCGTCGCTCGTGTGACGCCCCACCACCCCTACCCCGTACCCCTGACACTGCGCCCCGCCCCCTCGCTCTGCGTCCTGTTCCCCTCACTCACTGCACCATCCCCCTCATTCTCCGCCCCATCCCCCTCACTCCGCATCCCGTCCTCCTCACTCACTGCGCCATCCCCCCTTACTCTCTGCACCGCGCCCATGGTCCGGAGCCAGAGACAACAAGCGGTCAGCACGGCTAGCATTACGGCATGGTCAATGTGGCAGTGGTCCCTCCCACCTCCAATGAAAACAGTGGTGGCTTCTCAGCTGAGCATCGTGTGTGCCTGCGCTGGTAGTCTGGCGCCTGACGCTCGGGCGCGGCTGGCCGGCCCAGAAGCGCGCTCCGTGTGTGCCTGCGCTGGTTGTCTGGCGCCTGACGCTCGGGTGCGGCTGGCCGGCCCAGAAGCGCGCTCCGTCTGCGGTAACGAGGCTACGTCCGCCGGCGCTCTGGAGACCGTTACCCAATTGACACAGACATATGAGGTTTTAAATCTGAGCTCCTTGTTTGGAGCGGAGCGCGCCCGGCTCGTGCCACCTCTCCTCCGTCCGCACTCCTCTCCTAAACTGGAGCCGCGGGAGACGATGTCCTGCGCATGGCGACGCCACTCAATCCTTGAATCCTCTTATAGTGAATTAAGAGAGTTCATTCAGCGTCCTTAACACACTGACGCCACCTTCGCGGCTAAGCTGAAGATGTGCTTGTGGGTGTAAAATGGCATATTTGACGGGGGAGGTAAGAATTGCTGCTTTGATTGGTAAGCAGGCCTGTTCAAGACCCTGTCCTGTGAATACACGCCAAACAGCGGCTTTAAAAGGTAGTGTGAGCAATAGAATGTAACCACCAAGGTTTGGTGTCTTATTGCGACTCGGGAGTCTTTGAACAGCTTATTCCAAAATTGTGACGTGAATAAAGGCTTCCTTGCA